GGCATCCTAACTGTCCTAGGAGTAGTTCTAACTGCTCAGGAGGCTGAATTGAAAGAATTACTTGAACCCAGGAGTAAGCTATGATCTCACTACTATACTGCAGTCTGAATAACAGAGCAAGACTTTGTCTCTAAGAAAAAAAGAAATGAACAAAAAGAAAAATCTGACCTTTTGGGATGTGCGTCAGTGTGAAAATACAGGATGCTTTGCATCTCTTGGTTTTGGGGGCTCTGAGAGTTGGCCACTAATAGATGGGTCCAGATAAGTATGCCAATTCCTGTGGGCCAGGGTCACCCTGAAAATATGATTGTAGCCAGACAAATCTCATATAGGGTGAGGAAACAGGCTATCCTGGTGCCCAGCACTACACAAAGACTAGCAGTTGCTTTGATGTCTGTGAAAGCTCCAGTCAGTCTTGTCTGCCATCACCCTGGTAAGGCCTTAAGAAGCAGCCCCTTCCTTCTGTTTGAAGGGCCTCTGCAGGGCCCAAGTTTGAGCAGGCCTTTGCCACCTGGGTAACAACTCAGGTGGAGTGAGATGGGCCCAGGTATGAAAGAAGAACAAAGATGATGTAAATGGCAGGTCCCTTTCTGCATACTGTGCCTTGCACCCCACCCCCCAGATTCTGGGGACTTGGTGCTATTATTGTCCTCATTTCACAGATGGAGAAATAGAGGCTCAAAAGGTGAAGGACCTGTTCTAGGTCACCACCCAGCTAGCAAGGAGCAGGGATTGAACCTGTCTTCACCCTGAGGCAGAGTGCATCATGCTTTGAGGAAGGGCCAAGAAGTGAACTAATTGTGGGGGGAGGGGAAGAGGCCTCAGGGGTCCTTGTTTAGATGGGGGTAGGTACTGGGCTGCAGGAACTCTACCCCTCTTACCGAGCCAGGCCAGACCTGTGGACCACAGAGTGATCAACTGTCCCAATTTGTCCAGTTTGAACCCTGAAAGTCCCATGACCCTGTTTTCCTGGGATCGCTGGCCACTATACCTGTGGTCTGAGTCACCCCTGGACCAGCTGCAGAGAATGAATGGCAGAATGGTTTGATGGGAGCCAGGTCAGGACACAGCCAGGGAGGCCTTTTCAATTACATTAACCTCTGGTGAGTCTGGAGGGAGGTGCTAGCTTTGCCCTCCCCTTCTCCCTCCTGTGGCTCCCTGGGAGATAGTGATTCAGCAGTAAGTCGGAAGCAGGCTAGACTGCCAGGAGTGGAGTCACTGCCAGGATGGAGCCGTTAGCACCACTCAGGGCAAGAATTAGAAAAAGGAGGGAATGTGGGGAGAGGTCTTTGAGTTGTTAGGAAACTAGACCCAGCAGAGGGCCCTGCTGTCTTGCCCAGGCTGGGTCTGGTTGTAGGGCAGTGGGGTTGGTGTGCTTTACTTACCCCCTCCACTAGCCCTAGTATGTGAGGGATGGGGGAGTCCCAGCACTGGATAGCTAAGCTGCTTCTCAACCCGTTCAGCAGCTAAAAATATGAAATGGCTTTGCTCAAAGGTGCCCAACCAGAAACTTCCAAGAGGTTTCCTATTAGGGCAGTGCCTGCTCGGGCTGGAGGCCAGATGCTGTGAGGATTCCTCTGCTTGCCATTCCCAATGTTCAGTCACAGCCTGGCTGCCCCCACTGCCAGGGTCTCAGCTTCTACCCATTTGCCCTGAGGCCCCCCCAGGCTCCTGTACCCACTGTTTCAGAAGAGGGTAGTGTTTGGGGACTTGTCTTGAGCCTCAGAGGAAGGCCTGGCCCCCAGTCCCAAGCTCGCCGTGTACTATGTGACCGTGAACACACTGCTTGGCTTCTCTAAACTTTGCTCCTCTCACCTGCAAGGTAAGAGCACACCACCTGCAGGGAGGGAGCTAGAAGCCCTGGATGGGGAGGACTCCATACTCTGGCTGAGAGAGAGGCAGGCCTGGGGAATGTAAGCATGTTGTTCTTACTTAGCATAAATGTTTCTCAGGGTGCATGGGAGCCTGAAGGAGATTATGCAACACTTAGTTCAGCCTCAGAATCCACTGGGGAGTTTGTTGGAGATACAGACAATGCAGACGTGGAAAAAAAAATTCATGTCTGAATTTTTGACTGCCTTTCTAGATGATTCCATTGAATGGCCAAGCTGAGAATCACTGCCTAGGAGCCTGGCACAAAGGAGGCACTCAAGGCTTGTGAATTATGTTCCTTTCCCACTCCTCAACCTTAATGTGCGCTCCCCTGTCACTCAGAAATAATGTGCCTGCCTCTCTGCTGGGGCTGCTGACAAGCTCAAAAGGAATTCTGAGTAGTCCACAGCTGCACAAGTGTGTGGGGATAGGGGTGGGTGGGAGGTGGCCAAGCCTATGAGGAAGCCACCCCCTCTCCGGGATACTGCAGCCAGGGGGATGATCAGTGGTCATGTAGTCCCAGGCCCAGAGGTAAGATGGAAGGAAGGGAGGACAGCCCCTTGTTGCCATCCATCCCCTGTGCTTCTCTGGTAGCCCAGCCTCACTCAGTGAGAAAGCCTGAAAAACTAATTTCCTCCTTGGAAGTGGGCAGGACACCGCCACCATATGATACTCTCCTCCCTTCACTGGGAATTCTCTCTACAGTTGAGCTTTGAGGGGCATAGCCAGGCACACCAGGACACAGTCCCTGTCCAGTCTCCCTTCTGCCCCAGGGAAACAGCATGCCCTTGTTAAGGCTTCCCTGGATGGCCAGGTGGTGGGATGGGAACTCTCCCACCTCCTAGCCCTCCCTTGGAGAGAACAATTTCAAAAGATTCTCCTTACCAGGTGCAGTGGCTAACACCTGTAATCCCAGTACTTGGGAGGCTGAGGCAGGTGGATTGCCTGAGCTCATAGGTTCGAGACCAGCCTGAGCCAGAACAAGACCCTGTCTCTAAAAAAAAAATAATAATAGCCAGGTGTGGTGGTGGGTGCCTAAAGTCCCAGCTACTTGGAAGGCTAATGCAAGAGGATTGCTTAATCCCAAGAGTTTAAAGTTGCTGTGAGCCAAGATGCTGTGGCACTCTACCAGGGTGACCAAGTGACTCTGTCTCAAAACAAAAACAAACTCGGCTCGGTGCCTGTGGCTCAAGTGGCTAACGTGCCGGCCACATACACCTAAGGTGGCAGGTTTGAATCCAGCCCGGGGCCGCCAAACAACGATGACGGCTGCAACCAAGAAAAAAATAGCTGGGCATTGTGGCCGGCGCCTGTGGTCCCAGTTACTTGGGAGGCAGAGACAGGAGACTTGCTTGAGCCCAGGAGTTGGAGGTTGCTGTGAGCTGTGATGCCACAGCACTCTACCCAGGGGGACAGCTTGAGGCTCTGTCTCAAAAACAAACAAACAAACTCCTCTACCCTATTCATGCTGTAGTTTTTATCCCTGCAGGTAGGCTTATAAAACACAGCCCTTCCCCAGACTGGTCTGACCTTGGGAAGCGGCTGAATCTCTGTTTCCTCCTCTATAAAATGGAATTGATGGGATCTTCCTATTGTGTAGGAGGGAGGATTGAAAGAGACATGGAATACCAAGAGGGTTCTCAGACAGAATGGGGAAGGAGGGAGGGAGTGTCAGAAAGGCCAGTTCCGGGCCTTGCTGGCAGCATTCTGATGCTGTAGGCTTGGAGCCCAAATGTTGGGAAATGTAGATGCCTAGGAAGGGGAGAAACCCTCACTCCTGGCTATGCAAGCAAATCACTTTGAGCTCAGTAAACACCCCAATGGCACCTAGACTTCCTAAATCACAATGTTAAGGACTCTGCATGTTTTCTTGCTTGCCATTTCTTCCACCGTGAGACCTGCCCTTTCCCAGCAGGCAGACCTAGCTGGTTAGTTTGCTTCCACCAAAGATGGGCAGCAATTGGCATTTTCTTTAGCCCCCAGAGAAAATGGAAGGCATTCCTTCCACATCCCAGCTGGTCCCTTTGCTGTTCCCTGATCATTTTAACAGACAGAACTGGCGTTTTAGGGGCATGTGAGGCTCAGGTTAAGGGAGTCCACACATTGTCCCCAGTCCCTTGAGGGTTGGTGAATGGAGGAGGGATGAGACCTGATCCTGAATGTGGGTTAATTCCATGCTGGAGGGCAGGGCATGCTGCAGGCTAGGGTGGTCCAGGCTGGGAGGATTAAGTGTCTAAGGTCACCCAACACTTAGTGTGTGATAGGATTTGAACCCAGCGTCCCCTTCTTCAGAATCTTAACCTCCACTCCTACCATTCCTGGCCTCCCAGTTACCCTTGCCACGCTCTGTGACCCCACTTGCATCCCCACTCAGAGCCTTAGACAAAGGCCTATATGCGTGTGTCCAACACTCAGCCTACAGCCAATACTTATCCAACACCTGTACCAGGCCCAGGAGACAGGCTGAGAGGAAACCAGCCATTGTGCCCTCAGGTAGTCTTGGGTCTAGGACCCCGCACACCCTAAAAAGGGGTCACACAAGTCTGTAATTACATAGGGGGTGGGGCAAGGATAGGAAGTGACATTTCAGTCGTGACTTACAGGCTAAGTGGGCTGGATTCCCCTCCCAATTCTTTGCATGTTGCATGACTCGCCCCAGCAGAGCAAAGAATTGGGGGGTGGGGGTGACGCCCTCCTGGAGTGGGGTGCGGGCTCCCACAGCAGGGCCAGACCTAGGTTCTAGCAACCACCCGCCCAGAGCCTCAGTTTCCCACTTAAGGAAGGGCATTACAGCCGGCCTCAACCTTCCCCATCCGCGGAGGCTGGGGAAGGTGCGCTCGGGTGGACGTGGTGGGCGGGCGCGGGCGGCGGGGCAGGGCGGGGCGAGGCGGGTTGGGCGGAGCGCCCGAGGCCCGGCGGGCGGGGGCTGCGGGCTGCGGGGGCTGCGGACCGGCTGGCGCGGCGCGCAGTGCGTGCGGCTGCGGAGCGCGCGGCTGGCCCGGCCGTGGGCATCACATGAGCAGCGGCACCGGTGACAGACGCAGCCCGCCCGTGGGCGCCCCAGCAGTAGCAGCCCCGCGTCCCGGTCCAGCCCTAACCATGTCTATATGTTGTTGCTTCTTTTTCAGGGACTATGGCAGTTCCAAGAGGAAATCAGGTAAGGGAGCCTCCGGACATTTTTCCAACTTGCCTGCCCGGTGCACGCACCCCTTCGATCCTGCGGAGGACTGTAGGGAGGGACTGTCCTTGCCTCTTGCAGGGCCAGGGGTACTCCCTTCAGTTGCCCCCTCTCCAATCCGTGGCCCCTGAGATCTGTGGTCCTCGCACCGTCATTCTTCTTCCACCGAATCCCTCGGGCTCTCCTGCCCGCCAGCTCTTCCCGATGGGAGTGAGGGTGGGTGCTTGAGGAATGTGGGGGTGTCGTGATGGGCTTGAGTCCCCGCAACCTTCACTCCCGGGCTGCAAGTGCCCACTACTGGGCACTGCTGTGACTTCTTGGGTCTTTCTCGCGGTGCGACGGTAGTGGAAGGGTTAATAGAGATGCATAGTTTTCCCGGTGAAAAGGTGAGCTCCAGACTGAGAGGGGGTCTTTGTGTGACTTGAGTGTTTAGCGCCTGCACCACGGACCTTCTGCCTTACCCCAACTCTGAGCATGCTCTCGGTGCTGCGGGGCTCGGGGTTGTGCGTGGCGGCAGTTGAAAGGCACACGGGAGGGGGCCTGCCGCCCAGCCCCACCACCACTGAGGCCCTCCCTCGCTCTGGAGTTTGTGAAGCCAGTGGAGGCAGGAGAGGCGGGGCAAATCCTCTGACGCTTGGGTGCTGGGGTCAGAGAAGGGTTCTCACTGGGTGGGAGCGGATGGGCTCCTCAGATGGCAAGCGCCAGGGTGTGGGCGGTGTAGTTAGCTGGGGGAGGGTAATCCCTAGAAGTTGGGGCTGTATGTGCACTGGGGTAGGGGCAGAGACAGACCGGAGCTACCCGTGTTCGCACATGTATTGCCCTTATTTACAGGTGCTGGACAGCCATCTAAGGGGCTGGCCCTTGAGCATGTAGGAAGTGTGTATAAACCCGCAGCTCACATTAATGGCTCCAGCGTCCTAGTGCTGTGCCCATGTGTATGGATGGAATGTGAATTGGTTAGCCTTGTATGACACGTATGTTTCTGAGTATGGGTTCCTATATTTTGTGTGTGTGGGTGCTTGCTCATGCCCTTTGAGGGTGTGTTTACTTGGTTGGGTGAATAGGCTGGGTCTTTGTGCCAGTGTGTTGAGGTCTCTGCTTGTGGGTCAAAGTCTGTGCTTGTGTACCTGCTGGGGGCGTGTCTGGTTTGGGAGGAGATGTGTGTGTACACATGCCTATCAGCTGAACCTGGGATGTCTCTGGTATGCAGCCCACTGGTGCAGGCAGGACATTTCCTCCTGCTTGAGGAATTGCAGCATGGCCTGTTGTCCCTCTCAGGGAGATCACCAAAGGAGAGATTGGAAGGAGCACCCAAACTGGATTCCCCCAAGAAACTTGCCTTGGGCCTCAGAGGTATAGTCCACTGAATGGTTAAGCCTGCGTTCAAATGCTGTGTGACCTTATGCAAGTTTCATAACCTCTCTGTAACTCGGTTTCCTCATTTTCTTTAAAACAAAGATAATGGTTGTATCTACCTCACTTGTAGAAGATTAAGTAAGTAAATGTGGGCTGGGTACAGTGGCTCACCCACCTAATCCTAGCACTCTGGGAGGCTGAGGCAGGTGGATTATTTGAGCTCAGAAGTTCAAGACCAGCCTGAGTGAGAGAGTGAGATGCCCTCATTTTAGAAATAGAAAAACTAGCTAGGTGTTGTGGTGGGCACCTATAGTCCCTGCTACTTGAGAGGCTGAGGAAGGAGGATCACTTGAGCCCAAGAGTTTGAGGTTACTGTGAACTATAACGCCATGACACTCTAGCCTGGGGCAACAGAGTGAGAGTCTGTCTCAAAAAGATAAATAAGTGAATATGGACTAATCCTAAGTACATAACTACTATAGAAGTATCAGTTATCACCATGCTCCTCCCCACTTTCTAAAGTCTTAGGACCTGGTTGTGGGTCAGCTTCCACCTTGCTCCCTATGTGACCTTGGGCGAATTCCTCATCTACTCTGGGCCTCGGGTTCCCCTTGTAAAGGCAAGGGCTATACCAAATAACCTCTCAGGTCCCTAAACCCTATTTCCATGGCTCAGTTTGTGTGCTGCTTCCTAGGCAATGTGGGGCCCCACCCAGACTACTGTGCCTGCAGAAAGCCTCCCCCACTTTCTCTGTTTTCTCTTATGCCAGGAAAAGGACAGATGGAGAAATTTAATTTACATTGGTATGCTTATGATAATGGCCACTTAGTGTCATGGTCAGAGTGCCAGCTCTGGAGCCAGATAGCAGTTTAGAATCTGGCTTCTCTCTGCTGTGACCTTGGGTGTCTGTTCCTGCTCCCTCTTCTGGAAATTTGGGGTGATATTCATACCCCCCTCAGCACATAGGATAACTATGTGTCACTGTGGCTGGGCCACAGTGTCCTAACATTGATCAGGTGTCATTCTGAGTGTTTTTGTGAAGGTAGTGTTTGGATGAGATGAATGTTTAAATCAGTGGACTTCAAGTAAAGCAGATGACCCTCCATAATGTGGCTAGCCCTATCCAATCTGCTGCAGGCCTTAATACAACAAAGGCTGACTTTCCCTAGCATGAGGGGCTTCTGCTGGCGGCCTGTCTCTGGACTCAACTGCAACTCTTTCCCTGCTCTCCAGACTGCCAGCCTCCCCATCAGATTTTGGACTCACCAAGCCTCCATAATTGCATGAGCCAATTCCTAAAATAAATCTCTCTTTTCGTCCCTATACACATCCTGTTGGCTCTCTCTGGAGAACCTTGATTCGTGTACAACTCATGGTTATGTTGCAGGAAGACGAGGCCCAATGGAGAGAAAAAGTACCCCAACACCATGTTTATAAGAGGAAGGGCTTTACTCACCAGCCGGGAGCTTACGGCATATAAGAATTCCAAATGGCCGTGCTCCCCTACTGACTTGGTCTTTCCCTTTTTATTGACAGTCAAAAAGTTCCACCCCACAGGTACCCTTCTTATTGGCCAGTTTGAATCAAGCAGGAGATGCTATTCCAGCCCCTACAGAACTACAGGATTTCATAGAACTTGGACATTTCCAAGTTCCAGGAAGTTAAGCTTACGAATTCCCAAGAGCTGAGTCACCATGGAGAGGACCCTGCAGGTGTATCCTTGTGGGTCTTCTTGAGAAAACCTGTTCTAGATCAACCTTCTCAGGTATCCTCTCAGTTATAATGATGATCAGATAAATTAATATATGTAAGCATGCATAGAACGCTGCCTGGAACGTGGAAAACTCTCTGTAAATACCAGCTGCTGTTATTGAATGAGCATCTACTATGTGCTACGAACGTTACATGTTTCCTCATCTACTGCTCAGAGCCACACTGCATGGTAGGTGCAGATGAGACCCTGGGGCCCTGAGAGGGTGAGTGCCCACAATTCTTGGCAAAGTGCAGATGAGAGTCCACCTTCAGGGCTCTGCACTGCTCTACAACGAACTTCATGAAGCTTTAGGGTCACTCCAGTGAGGGACGTTTGCACAGAGGAAATGGATGCTGTTCCTAGTCCTCACTGTTCACCCTTTAGTCCCCAAGCCCTAGCTCATCCTTGGAGGACCTCTCACTGAGCACCGAGCTTAGACTTGAGGCAAGGCTTAGAGAGGAGGAATCAGCAGAGATAGAAAGGTCTTAGGAACTTTGTGGAGGAAGCAGGACTAGTGACCTTGAAAACTAGAAGGCAGGGTGGTCTCTGTCCTTCCTCCCTCCATTGAACCTGTTCCTTCCCAGCAGCTTCCTATCTGAGGGGTTGGCAACACCCACCCTGTTGGTCAAGCCCAACATCTAGAAGTCATCCTTGACTTCCCTTTCTCTCACTTGCCAACTGGACCTCTAGATCCTTCCACTTCCCCCCACCTCCACCATCACACCTGGTGTTACAGGCACCCAGGAAGATACTGGCTGGCTTCTTACCTAGTCTCTCTGCTTCCGTCTTCAGCCCTCTACCTGCCATTCTGCACACTATAGCTCAGGTGGGCTCTTAAAGAGATAGATCGAATAATGTGCCTTCCTGTTTGAATTCCCCCAGGGATTCCCCAAGGCACCCTGAATGAACTCCTTAAGCTGGCTCACAGAGTGCTGGGTGACAGGGCCCCTGCCTGCCTGCCCACCTGCCCTGGGCTTTGCCCCTCCCCCCCTCCCACCATGTTTCCACTGCACACACCCCTCAGCCACACCCATCATCTTCTGCTCCTCTGGTGCTTCAAACTCATACCTCCCTGCAGGCTTCGTACTCTGTTCTCTGTCCTAGAATGCTCTTTGATCTTTCCCGTGGCTGGCTCCTTAAGGTTTTCCCTTTGTTATCCTCTCAGAGAAGCTGCCCTGATCTGCGTTATCCAAACTATCCCACTTATTCCCTTAACATTACACTCTAGTTACATTGTGTTGTTTCTGCTTCTCTGTCTCCCACCACCTTGAGCAGGGCTGCAGGGCTCACACTAGGGTCCACTTACACTTTTTTTTTTTTGAGACGAGTCTTACTTTGTCACCCCAGTAGAGTGCCACATCACAGCTCACAGCAACCTCAAACTCTTGGGTTCAAGTGATCCTGTTGCCTCAGCCTCCCAAGAAATTGGGACTATAGGCGCCTGCTACAACACTCAGCTATTATTAGACACAGGGTCTCACTCTTGTTCAGGCTAGTCTGTGAGTTCAGGCAGTCCACTCTCCTTGGCCTCCCAGAGTGCTAGGATTACAGGCGTGAGCCACCGAGCCTCACTTGTACTTTTTAATGGGTGGGTGGATAGAAAAATGCATGTGAGTGAATGAACCCTGTGCAGGTCAGGAAAGAAAGGAGATTGTAGCTTCAAATTGGGGATCCTTATCTGGAAAGAGAAGACATTTTTCTGCTTTGGGTACAGAGAGCTGGAGGCTTTGGTACTCCAGAGAGAGCAAATGCACCGGGGTAGAGGGCGGAACTAAGTGACTTATTTGGAGACCAAATACTTCAGCTAGGCTAATTGAACACCAGCTATATTCTAAGCACTGTGTATTGTGTTGAGGTTATAGGAATGTGT